GCCTGCCTGGGATGACCACAAAAATGCTATAATCTTAACTGTCCTAGAACCCGAAGGTTGTAACTACTAACCTGCCAAGGGGAAGGCACTTACAAGAAACCGAGAAAATTACTCATGACCCATCAGGCAGGCGGGTGCTCTGCTGTTTCTTCTATTACCTCTCTAGATTTCAAGAGTCATGAATGTTTTTCTCCACCAATACAAGTAACATGCTTTACACATAGGTTCCGCATGCACCCGTATTTTCAAGGTACTAGCAGCCTTTCACAACTTTTGGAGAGGAACTATTACGTCTCACGTGTGCAATCAACCATAAGGAGCGTTGATTACACACCTGGACTTGGTTAATTCGATCACATACACCCAATACTGGGGAGATAAATGTCTCTATGTACCCACTAGACTCCTGGTCTCAGTGTGTGACCTTTCATTCACTCAGGTTGCACTCAGTTTACTCTCAGTACTCCATGGACAGGAAGAGAGTGACCGTCAGCAGGTGAACCCTGCCCAGCTGAGGGAGGGGTTCTATTTTCCCGTTAGTAAGAGTTTTCACTAACTGACTGAAGAGATGTGGTGTTGTATGAGCCAGGATGGGGAGATTTGATGACCCAGAACGGCCACTTATTTCTCTTTCAATTTTGAATTTTGAAGTGGATCCCTTCCATTCCTTGATATACTTATCATGAGAAATGGCCAAAACTAAAAATTTAAGGTATACAGAAAGCCCACACAGGTAGACAGTTTCATTCACTTTTTATCGAATCACCTGGAGTCTACCAAAATGTCATTTTTTTCTGCCATGTTCTTAAGATGTCTGCGTATTTGTGACTCTGAATTTATTGACGATGAATTGAAACATTCGTTCCATTGCACAGAAATTCGGGTACCCTTCTGTATTTGTTGATCGTTGTTTTAAAAGGGCTAAAAAAATCCTTTCATTCCTCTCAAACCAGGCAAATTCCTACACTTAAGAATATTTTGACTCTGCCCTATCGTAATGAATTTGTCCCGTTAGTTCGGTCCCTCAAGCTTCTAAATATTAATGTTGTTTTCAAGTATGACTCAACCATTACCAATATGTTAATAAGAAATAGCCCAAGTTTGAATGTAAATGGAAGTGTTTATTGTATTCCATGTAACAAATGTAATTGTAATTATGTAGGACAGACAGGAAAAACACTGCAGCTCAGAATCAAACAACATAAGTATAATATCAGAACAGCATCTGAAAGCAGTGCCTTGTTTGTTCATGTTAGGAATAATAATCACCCCATTGCTTGGGAAAAAAGCTTAGAAGTATTTAAATCATCTTGTGTCAAAGAAAGACTTCTGGTTGAAGCTAGTTTGATTAAGGAATTAAAATCAATAAACCTTAGTGATGGTCAGTTCAAAACTGATAATATGTTACATAAATTTATTTGTCAGTGGCCCAAGGTTAAAAATGCTTTGAAAACCTTTGATCTAGATGTATGATAGTTATTTTGTGGGTCCCTTATTTTTTACCTGATCTGACTAGTCACGTCACCCCCTTCTCTTAAGCTCCTCTACGTGTGTGTTGGTGTGGGGATTAGTCATTATGACCTGACCTCATGTTTTTAAGGTCACCCTGTATATTTAAGCCTCTCTATGTCCATGTAATCCAGTTGCCTCTGAAGATGTCTTGAATAAGACGAAAGCTAAGGTGCTCCGTTGTTTCTCTTTTCCAGTGTGATTTTATCAAGATATATATATATATATATATATATATATATATATATATATATATATATATATATATATATATATATATATATATATCTTGATAAAATCACATCATAGGTGATCTAGGTATATGCTGATATATATATATATATATATATATATATATATATATATATATATATATATATATATATATATATATATATATATATATGAAATTCTTACAATATGATGATCATTTTGAATATAAATATCATAGATTTTTGCACTAGACATACAAATTTTAGATATAATGTTTACTCTGAGTAAATATGTTCTTTTTGTGCAAAATATGACATTTGTATTCAAAAATATTTCTAATCTTACAAGGAATCAGCAATGTCAATTATAATATCTAACTTTAATTTGGTATTATTTGTACTAAAAAGGTAAATATTCTGGTTTTTCCCACACATCTGGTAGGGAGGTTGGTAGGGGGTGGGGAAGGGAAAAGTTTCGGGCAAACCATCTGTTACGATGTGAAGAATATATTTTATTTTTATTAACTGAAGATATTTGTTTTAGCTCATAAAATTCATACAAATTACCGGCCAGAATATAATTTACATTGCTGGAATTGCTGAATTTGGTGATTATTTTGAATATAAGCATATGATTTTGCACTAGACATACAAATTT